CTAGCATTCTCAAAATAATGATTTAGTAGCATCTGTTAGATTTTTTGAGTTTATAATTTGGATAATGGAAAAAAGTAGGGAAGATCACTTTAATGCAGACATTTGGCTGCATGATAGTGGCCTCTCAATTTGTAGGCTATATGAGAAAATAATTATTACAATGAACCACAGTGATGTTGAAATTTCCTTAAGATGTACATCCCGTTCTAGTCTGTATTAAACAGGATCATTTCTAAACATTCAGTATATCATAGAATCATGAAATTGAAAATGTCCTTAGAAATTACCTGATGCAGTCTGTCTCTATTGAAAAAATTTGCTTTACATCAGTAGGTGGGTTTTCAGACTGAACTTTAAGTAGCTAAAATATTTCAGTAGAGTATTTTTTAGGGCAGGAGATAAACTGGAACTTGTTTACAGTGACATACTATAGTTAAGAATTATATTTATGAAACTCTCAGCAAGTGCTATTAAAATGCACTATTTGTCCAAGTTTGACCATTTTTACCTCAATAAGGTTTGTTACACTATTAATTCAGAAAATGACACAAATGTGGGCATAAAGAAGATACAAATAAGAAAATGAGCCACTCATCTTCTGAAATAGATGCTTGGAATGATTATTATTAAACTATTAGAACTTTATTTAGGAGTAACCAACCACTTTATCTCAAGCCTCCCTACAGAATTAATTATGTTATATGATGAACTAAGATCCACACTCATTTAATACACTCAAGGCCATTTCATAAATACAACCCAATACTTACAGTAGGTATTTCTAAAATGAGTGATTAAAACTTCTCCAGTAAAAAAAAAATTGAACCTCAGTTGTTGGAGATTCTTCACACAGATATACTCTAATAGCATGCTTATTACTTCAGTATGATACAATTTATGTACCATAACATTTAGCATTTTAACCATTTTAGGTATAGAGTTCGGTAACATCAAGTATCATCACATTATTGTGCAACCATCACCATCCTCTATCTCCAAAAATTTTTGAATTTTCAATAACTGAAAATTTGTACCTATAAATGATTATTTCCTATTTCACCCTCCCCTGATGTCTTCCAAACACATTTATACTTCCTTCTCTATGAATGTAACTACTTGAGGATGGCATCAAAGTATAATGATACAGCATTTGTCCTTTTGTGAACGGTTTATTTCAAATTGTGTGTCTTAACTTTTCCTTCCAGACTAACTAAAGGTAGTATGAAATATCAAGTGCTGTTGCTTTCCACTGAACTCAGCCTCTGGTGGAAATGCAAATATCCTATGCACAGTTCAGTGATGGTTAAAAAACAGCACTACACGTATCTCACCCTCTGACCGAAAAACGTCATTTCATTGTCCTTGCAAGAAGATTCACAGAAGGTCCACCAGGTGCCTTATATAAAAATAACAGTCCCCTCAAGCTACCTAACCTAGATTTTAAGTTATGTAACATGAGTTACTTGGAAGGAAAATGCTGAATAAACATATTCTAGGATTGTGGTGATGCAGTTACCCTGAATTTGTTTCAGGAATGCATCCATCCGCCAAAAGATTCTTGAGAAAATTATAATTGGTCTCTGCAAATCTTGGACATCTCATTTCTTTGCCAGAGATTGGTTTGGAGGGAAGCGTGAGTCCCAAATCTGGCCTATAAATAAAGTAACAACAGCCCATTGACTTCTGAGAAAGTGTGTTTTCCTCGCAATAAAGATTCACATAGGGAGTGTCTATTCTTTTCCTGATGCAGGATGATTTCACTCCAGTAGATAGTGCTACTTTGTGACTCTCAGTCCTACTAGGCTTAGTCACAAAGGTGCTACACCAAAGGTGGCAGAGCAGAAGCACAGAAACCTTGGAAATTTGAGGTTTTAGTGAGTACCCTGAATACCTAACCTGAAACAACCCTACCCCATTATTTCATGTAATGTGATATTACAATATATTCTCACTGTATAAGCCAGTTGAAATGGAGTTGTTTGTAACTTGCAGACACTTAGCTGATGAAGGAGACTGGGATGTCACAGGGTAATTTCTCTAGGAGGCAGATGCTAAGAAAGAGTCTAGTTCACATGAAACTTCTTAAAGAATGTTTTGTGGAAGAGAAAGGAAAGAAGCATAATACGGCAGAAGTGAATCTGTAAGCTAGACAATGGCAGCCATGGGTTGGTAAGGGGAAAGTTGGACCTAGGTAGCAGGCCTTTATATTCCCATCATTTTTAATCACTTGGGAGGGATGACACCTTGGGCAGCACAGGAAATCCCTGAGGGGCTAATTTAAAGTTGTCCATACTGATGGAAAACCTCAGCAATGGGGCAAAAGCTCTTTACTGAAGAAGAATCTGGATGATGCATAAGAGTGTCTGCCACACGCAATTGTCAGATCTGGTCAAAGAATAGATACTTGGCCGAGGCCTATATAATATACCTTTGAAACTCGTAAATCCTGCCTAACTACTGGTGTGCTATGGTTCATGCTACTGATAGAAGTCATATTCTAGCTAAATTTGCCTTCATTTAATTTTGCTTGACTGGCAAAGGCTAACAATTAAATTGTTGATACATGTCCTCATATCTATCTAAACTATTCTCCTTTTGGGCCTAATGCAACCAAGTTGGTTTTGTGTTTACTGAATAACAACTAAACTTCCTTTGCTTTCTTGCTAGCCATTCACCTTCCTTGAAGTCCTTCCTTGTCTTCTCATATAATCCTCGCTCCTTTTACTCAGTCCCCTTTCGTGTGTTCCTTCTCTCCTCTTACTCCCTCGTCATAGGTACTCTCTGAGCCAACACCCTAACTCAGCTCTTTCATCAATGCTTTATGTATAAACATGCTCTTCCACAGTCCTTGCTCTCTTCCAATTCTGCTGAATTTCCAGGGTAATTTTGTTCTCAACTTTGAGTATCAGCTTTCTATCTTTAGAAGCAACCCACACTGAAATGAGAAAAACTGAAGACATTTTCTCTAAAATCAGCAATCAGACAAGGGTGTCTACTCTCATCACTTTTTTTCAGCATAGTACTGGAAATTCAAGCTACAGCAGTGAGGCAAGAGAGAAAAACAAAAAAACCCATAGAAATAGGAAAGAGGAAGTCAAATTATCCCTGTTTTCAGATGATATGATTCTATAACTTGTAAATCTAGTATCCACCAAAATTCTATTAGAACTGATAAACAAATTCAGTAAAATGGCAGAATACAAAATCAACATAAAAATTAGTAGATTTCCTATGTGAAAATAATGAACTCAATGAGAAAGAAATCAAGAGTACAATCTCATTCATAATAACTGCAGAAAAGTAGGAATAAACTTAACCAAGGAGGCAAAAACCTCTACAACCAAAAGTATAAAAACTAATGAAAGAAACTGAAGAGGATAATAGAAAATAACTTCTCTATTCATAGACTAGGAGAATTAATAGTTTGAATATTTTCATGCTAGCAGAAGAAATCTACAGATTTAATGTAATCCATATCACAGTACTGATCACTTTCTCCACAGAACTAGAAAACAGTCCTAAAATTCATATGGAAAAACAGGAGACTCCAAAGAGTCAAAGCAATTCTAATCAAAAAGAACAATGCTACCATCATCACAATATCTGATTTTAAATATACTTTAAAGCCATTGTAAGAAAATAGCATGGTGTTAACATTAAAGTATACATGCAGACCAATAGCACAGAATAGTGGACCCAGAAATAAGCACACACATCTACAACCATCTGATTCTTCAAACAGGAACCAAAGCCATAAGTTGGAGAAAAGACAGCCTCTTCAACAAGTGCTTCTGAAAAAAAGTGGGTATTAACTGTAGATTCAAACTATTTCTGAACTTGCTTGAAAATCAACTCCGAATGGATCAAAGATTCTATCCAAAAGATGAAATACTTAAACTTGGAAGCTAGCGGAGGAAAATATATGGCAAAAAATTAAAGATGTTGATATAGGCAACAATTTCCTGACCAGGACTCAAATAGCTCAGGAAATGTTAGCAAGAATTGACAAGTGTGGTTACTTCATAATAAAGATTCATGTACAATGAAGGAAACAATCATCAGAATGGAGAAGCAACCTAGAGAATAGAAGACAATCCTTGTCAACTATTTATCTGACTGAATTACTATCCAGAATATAGAAAGAACACACAATACTGAAGAGCAAAAGAACAAGTAAATCAGTCAATAAATAGGCAAATGAGATGAACATGATTCTCAGAAAAGGACAAATATCTAATAACTGTATGAAAAATGCTTAACAAATTTAGCCATCCAGTGAAATGCAAATTAAAGCTATTAATATGAAGTGCAAATTGAGGTTCCATCTCACCTAAGTCGAAATGACTAGTTACCAAAATAATAAATACTGGTAGAGTTCCAGGAAAAAGGAACCCTTACACATTGTTTGTAGAAATACAAATTAGTATAACCACTATGGAGTTCAGTATGAAGGGGCATCAAAAATTAAAAATGGAGCTAACATGTGATCCAACTCTACAACTCCTGGGTACATACGTAAAGGAATCAAACTCAACATACCATAAAGATACCTGCATGCTTGTGTTTATGGGCGGCACTGTTCGCAACAGCCAAGTAAAGAAATCATCCTAGATGCCCAATAGTGGATGAATGGATGAAGAAAATGTGATATATGCACACAAATACTATTCAGCAATAAAAAGAACAAAAACATGTCATCTGGAGAAACACAGAACTAGAGATCATCATGTTAAGCAAAATAAGCTAGTCTCAGAAAGACAAGTAGGCATAATTTGTATCATTTGTAGAATTTAGGGGGGTATACTCAACACAGAAGTACAAGAGGAGGGGCTATTACAAAAGCAGAAGTGGATGAAGGAAGTGTGTACAGGAAATAAGAAAAAGTAATAGGGGAAATGGATACAATCAAAGAACATTGTGTACACATGTGGAAGTATCACAACAAAACAATCAATATGCGCTAGTAGTAATAATATTAAAAGCACTTTCTAAATTTTTTTTAAAATATGGAACGCTTCACAAATTTGTGTGTCATCCTTGCGCAGGGGCCACATTAATATTCTCTATATTGTTCCAATTTTAGTGTATGTGCTGCCGAAGCAAGCACTCTAAATATTTTTGTAGGTCCTAGCTATTTCCACCTCAATACAGCTAAAAATATTTCATATCATTCTCCACAAAACAAGTTCATTTCCCCAGTTTCTTAGTTGTTGGGCTTCTCTTTTCCTCAATATCTCATATCCAAAATGTTAGGTTCACATTGGGATGCCAGAAATCAAGACATGCGGAAATTATTCCTTTATTTGATTTGATTGGTTTGTCTTTAAAATCATTTAACTCATGGTTTTTGCAGTCCTTTTCTGAGTATTTCTTATTATTTTGATAATATTCTGGGTATAACTCTGTGATAATACTTCTCATTCTATGCTCATATATTACAGTTAGCTGACATTTTCCCTTTACTAGACTGAAAACTCCTTAAATGCAAGTATTATATCATTGAGCTTTTGATTTTCTGTGTTCAGAACATGCTTACAATAAAGTAGCTATTCAAAAAGTAGTTTTGGAATAAATGAATAACTCATTCTGGTCTAAGAATTTGACAGTTCTACAATACATCAGTGGCATCTTTACAGCTTCTACAGATGTTTTTGCTGTTCAACATAATATCTTTTCACCCTATTCTTATTTCAGCCTCAGCTCTGTGGAACTCTAATATAAAACTGAATACTACCAACAGCATCACACTTCAAACTCTGAGATACTCCAAGCCTTATTGCCTCCAGGCTTTCCCGGAAGCTTTAAGAACAGTTTATCTCAAGGTGTTATGTAGCCTAGATGTGTAAGAGGAGGGAAAAACCCTTTTCCCTCCTACCTTCTTATGTCTGACACCCAAAACCCTGCAAATCAAATAGACTAAAGATAGATTAACAGGCAAAGGCACATTTTGTTTCCTGTTAATATTTTACATGGCACATAGATTTCATACAAAGAGAAGTGAAGACCACAAAGAAGTAATCAGACCCAGAGGTTTATTTATGTACAATTTGAACAAAAGGAAATAAATTTGTGGAGCAGTGACAGCACAAAGGAAAAGGATTTTGAACCTCTAGGCAAGGTATACTGGGAGAAAGCAAGTACAGAAGCTAATTAATGGAAGATAATAATTATTTACTAAGGTTTGTTTTGCATGTTATTTTTGGACTTATAAGGGTCTACAGTTGTCTTAATAAGTCCTGTGATTAAAAGTCTCTCTCCTTTTCCAGGTAGGATAGAAGAGAGTGGAGATGACTTAAAAAATGGAAATGTATACCCTGAATTTTGACATTTAGAGGGGGCAGCTAGAGAGCTTTTTCCCTGTTTTCTGTTTTCTAATTTCTCCTAGCTCAGAAACTATGCCAAAATGTCATATTTTGGAGTTGAATACCCTTCACACCCAAGTGAAAACCTTAAAATTCTGTGAGGGGCTGGAAAGTATATGAATGACTTATCCCCTTTGCTAGGAGGTGTTGTGCAGGCCTTTTAGTGAACCTAGTACAGTTCAGCTCCAACTACCTATAGAAATGACCTACATAAGGCACTCTCAGTGAGCCTCTCACCTTTTTCCTTTTCTCACTAAGTTTTTTGTATAAATTACTATGTTAAAATCAAAAGTTTTGTAGGTTCAGCTTTTAGAGAACCCAAACTAGGATAATCTTTTTGTTTGTATTTCTCCTCAATCCTCATATACCTACAATAATGCCTGATGAATTTGTCCTGAACCATTACTTGAGTAACTTCAGTTACTACTGTTCAGACATTCCTGGCCATGTCTGAATGTACCCCTTCCCCAAATCCATATGTTGAAACTTAATCACCAATTTGATAGTATGAAGAAGTGGAGCATTTAGATTATTAAGTCACTAGGACCAAACCATCAAAGGAGGATTAACAGTCTTAAAAATGAAGTTCTTATGTTCCTGCTACCTGATGATGGAACAAAAGATAGTCTTTGAAGAGCAGAGACTATGGGCTGCAGGTGTGGCTCAGTGGCACAGCTCCTGCCTGACAAGCTCAAGGTTGTAAGTTTGATTCCAGGTACCCAAAACAAACAAACAAAAGTATACCAGGCCAATGATGGTGACCCTTTTGGAGCTTCCAATGATAGCAAACAACCTACCATGACATGTATGCTGTAGGTTCACCAACCACCCGAATAGGCTCTCATCAGACAGTGAATTTGCTGGCACCTTGAGCTTCAACTTTCCATACTAACTGTGAGCAGTAAATTTATGCTACTAATAAATTATATAGTCTGAGGTATTTTTTAACAGAAAAGATGAAACTAAGATACCCTCCAATTCTTAGATTTTTCCAGAGTGATTCAATAAAAGTAGATGACTAGTAAAATTTAAAATTTAAATAACTTTTAATGTAAGTATGTCTCATAAAATATTTGGAAAATCCTTATACTAGCTATCTTTTATTTATATAAAATCCAAATTTAACTGGTCATCTTGCCTTTTATTTGGCAGTTCTGTTAATTACTTTCTTATCTTGCCATCTAAGCTCTCATCTTGCCATTTATAGTTTTGCATAATTTGTCTTTCACTTTGCCAATAGAATTTCTCCCACTTGTTCAACTTGTAAGGTCTTCCTTGTAATTAGATGTTTTTATGTATTTAGTACAGGGTCTATAGGGTCTCACTACACAGATCGAACTTGTAGTGATCCTCCTGTTTTCAGTCTCCCAAGCACTGGGATTATAGGCTCTAATTAGATTTTTGAAAGCAAAAGAGACTTCAACATCATCACTATTATCACCATCATAATCAAAATTCCTTTGCTTCTCTGAAATATTGCACACTTTTCAAATTATTTGTCTCTACATTATCCTATTAGTTTCTCTCAACATCTTCTTGATACAGCTTGGGCAGAAAATTTAATTTAAAATTAGTGAAGACTGAGACACATAGAAGGTATCAACTTGATCAAAGTGAATGGCTAGGGACTAAAGCAGAGTACTCAAACCTAAGATAGGAATCTCCAAGTCCAGTGATCCTTCCACATATTGTGTGGCTTCCTATTTATATTCTTGGCTTTTTGTTTCTGTTGTTGGGATTTTTTTTCAGAGTAGGGAACAAAGAACTAAGAAGTTGAGTGAGGTGTGGGATACTCTCAGTTCTCCATTTTCTGTTTGATGGCCAGCAAGTCATGTTATAATGACTGAGCCTTCATTTATTCTTCTATAATATGAAGCTCTCATAGTAGAAAAATCTTTGTTTTCTTTGATTTCTAACTCTCTCTCTAGCCCATGCTCATGCAGCTAAATAATCAAGTTGAGAACAGAGAATGACCCACGGAGAGCTTGTCAGATACAGCTGTCTTTCTTCAAATATTTTTCCTAGAACATCTAATACTGGTTTAGCCTCCACAAAGAATTATCTAGTATTACTTGTTCTTATGAATAAAGTGTTCTGTTCTCTGCATTTAAAATTTTTAAATGGGCAATTTGAGTGTTTTATACTGTAGTAGAAATCATACAAAATTGCCAGTGGTTGATGGTAATTTTGCTTCTCTTGCCCCTTTTCTCCGGGTAAGACATTTATTCTGTACCCAGGGTTAAACAGGGGACAATTATATAAAAGTCAAATATTCATTTTAAGTTCTTCTTATTGATCTTATTTTTTAAAAAATTATTTGCATAAGCCAAGGAACAGGGATGATTTTTCCTTCCACAAGCTAAATGAATGGGTGCTTTTCAAAACTTTAAAAATAAAAAAAATTCTTGTAATAGGAAAGGAGAGGGATATTTATAACATAGTTTTTTATATACATAGTTTTGTTCCCATCATAAATTTAACCTTCCTACAAATTTCCCTAAATATTATCACCCTTCCTACTTGAAGGGTGCTAAGAAAAAGTGTGGCATATTGCATTTAGAGACATGCCTATATGAGTTCAATTGTATCACTGCCTCTTAACTCTGTGACCTCAAACAAATCCCCCAGTCCCCAAGAACTATAGACTCCTTTCCTTGTGAGGTTGTTTTAAAGGTCAAATAAGATTGAATGAACTTCCCCTAGTGAAAGGAGAGAACATATGTGCAGTGCTCACTAATCCTATATTAGACTGTACTCATTCATTAGCATTAGTAACTACACCTTTTTCAATTACTTAGTAAGCTTTCTGTGAAAAACAAATAATAGGACTTGCTCCAGCTATCATTTGTTGCTTAATATTGAGTGCCTCCTATTCCTACACATGGGAAACAAAGCAGCAGATCTGCTACTCCACACTTCCTACCACATATGACACATCTTAAGAAATATATCATGTAGAAAATGCATTTTGCCAAGGAGACACTTCAGTGGCATAAGCACCTGCTTGGCAAGTGGAGGGTCCTGAGTTTGATTCCTGGTACAAAAAAAGAAAGAAAAGAGAAGGGAAGGGAAGGGAAGAGAAGAGAGGAGAGGAGAGGAGAGGAGAGGAGAAGAGAAGAGAAGAGAAGAGAAGAGAAGAGAAGAGAAGAGAAGAGAAGAGAAGAGAAGAGAAGAGAAAGCAATTCACAGA